TCAATCCAACCGCACGTGCGAGTGCCGACATCAATGCAAAATGTAAAGAACTGATAGCTCGGGACGGGGTAATGCAATTTCTTGTTTTTCACAATTTTGCGTTAACTAAAATAGGACTAAATGAAGTGCCTCTATCCCAATTTACAGTATCCAAGTCGGAATGTACCAATTTACAGTTGGTAAAGTAATTGGGTGTTTCGCTTAGGATGACTAGAGGGGATTGCTTCCTGGAATTGGGTGTTCTGGGAAGCGATCATTTTTGACGTCTGTTAAACAAGAAAAAGCAGGTTGGGAAATTTTACTTCATGAATTTCTCACAGTTTCTATGAAAAACGCCAATCATGGCAGTAAGATTCATTGGCAACTCCTTATTGTTTTTAGATTCTTATTCATAAGCAGAAGTAGTTTTTTGCTGTGTCTCTGTTAAAAAGGTTATGGCTTTTTCATTATTGTTGAAATCAGGTAGGCTGCTCGTACAAGCATTCGATGCGTGCGAAATACGAGAGGCCCAGTGCAATCAGGCGTTTGATATCACAAACTGTTGGCGAAGCGAATCACATCTGGGATGTGGAAGATCTTGTTGAAGCATTGCGATGCTCCACTCCTCCTCTTTGCCCGTACTTTTCCAGTGCTCGAGTGCTTATTGATGATGCTGACATTGTATTTTGTCCATTCACTTATCTCATTGGTATGATTGATACTTCAGCTTAAAAATGCGCAAAATTTCTCAACGTAAAAACTGATGAAGAAATTCTTTACTTTAAAATCGACACAAAAATTTTGCTTTAATAGAGTCGGTCTGGAAACTTATTACTTAAAGATTTAGTGAGCAGGAACTTTATTGTAGTAATTATCGTGGAAACTCTTAACTAGGGTCGAAATCTAGCATTTTTTGCTTTACTTTGATATTATGATTCATTACTAGCTCAAATTTGCTTTGTGAACGCAGTAGTAGCCTTCTGTTGGTTGGTTTGGCCAAAATTCAAGACGGATTTTCTTATCCTGCTAGTGAGTGTAATGTTCGGGACTGTGTTTTCTTTATGGAAAAAAATGCTTTTTCCCTCTTTGTGCTATCATATTATCCTCAGCCAAAAGTCATACAGTTTAGAAGGGGGTCGAAGAATACAGAACAGCTTTGCAGATCCAATTATTCGTGCCAGTGCAGGTCTGAGCTTAAAGAATACGATCGTTATCCTCGACGAGGCGCATAATGTGGAAGACATATGCCGAGAGGCTGTCAGTTTTTCATTTTCTGAGCGTGAATTAGTCGGAGCTGCAGCTGAATTCTGCCAGAAAGGTTAGCTCGCATCACTTTTGAAAGGGTTCGTTTTCTATTAGGGTTTTAAATGGCGACTGAAAAGGGAACTCCATAGCATCCGCTTTTCATTCTTTCAGTCTCCTTTTAAAATTTAACTGAATTTTAAAATTTGCTCCTTTCCAGCAGCTATTCTTGATAAAGAGCTCACAAAAGTGACTGCTAAATCTGTAGCTGAAGAAGGACTGCATGCTGAGACGGAAAGCACTCGAACAGGACGATATCAGGAATGCTTGGAAGAGATCAAAGGCCACTTTAAAACGGTTTGACTTCATAAATTTTTGTACAAGTTGCGACGAGCGAAGTTTCCATCTTTTTTTTTTGCATTTTTGTTATTATTATTACTATATTACCAATTATTGTTATATCTATTTAGTGAGATAATTTGCCCATGCGCCAAAAATTTTCGGTTCCATTTCTCTATGTGTCCTGTCGTATAATTGCCACACACTGAATATATCTAGCCTTGTGCAAAGTGAACTGTCATGTAGCTGATTGTTGCTTTCTTTTCTCCTCATCGCTAATTTCAGTTATCTGCTAATTTTTACTGTTCCGTTTACCCCCCACTTAATCGTTTCTTTTAATTTCTGAAATGTTGAACTTCTAACATTTTAAAACTTCGTAAATTTTAGTGGTAATTTAAGGTGATAAATTTTATGAACAAAATCTTGGACTGGTTTGTGAGCGTCTCGACGAATACGCTGCAAATGGACGCGATGAAGAACGATCGATCAGCCTACACATATACATGGGAGAAGCTTTTTATGACATTCAGCAGCAATGAACTGGATAAATTTGACAAGACTAGCAAAGGGACCCCATACTCTGGACTGCTCGTAAGCATTTTCTGGATCTGCTCAAAAATACATGCAATTTTTGGATTATATTTTTGAAGATTTTCATGAGCACGAGTATTTCCGAAACATTTTCCAGTGGAAAAACTGTTTTAGAAACTTTAGTAGAGAAAGTATCGGCAGAACCCATTTTCTTTGAGGTTTCTTCTCGATGCTGATTTTCGAAAATCTAATCGACTGCAGCCCCCTTTTGCTCCATCGATACAGTTGACATCTTTCTTTGATAACAGCTAGATAAGGGAACCAAATTCAGATCTACGATTATTAAAACTGCGTACGAAGTTATAACTAATATTTCTAACGCTTTAAATACCTTCATCTCTGTTATGGCAAATCGCACCGGTACCACGATTCCTGAATATGACAGCTTCAAAAATAGAATATTAGCTGTGGCACGGTGGCGAACCGCTAACTGTTGCTATCTCTCTGCTCAAGTCAACGTTGATTTTGACAGAGC